TACTCCTTGCCCTGCTATCTCTGGTTGATTTCACTATCTCTCAACTCTTGATAGATAAGGCAAAATATTTTATGCCAAGACAAATGAAACGTAAAAGGCAAAAATGTAAGAGAAATAAATTTTTGAGAAATAATATCTGAAAAAGATCACTGCCAAGTCATGTCACATCATGCTTAACAAACTTCTTTGAGATTGATGCTTAGAGGTTTATTTGATTCTTCGTCGGGGAGTTTTCAGAGTCATTTTGGACTTGTAGATCCATGCTAAAATTTTGAGGTCATCCGCAAAATTTCTGTACCAGTTAACTATAACAGCTTATCTTTGAACTGTCGCTGAGTAAATCGTTGAATTTTTTAGATCCTCTCAAAAACTCTGTTACAGTTGCAAATCTTGGAATATCTTCAGTCTTGGATTGTTGAGGAAAGATCTTCTTCTAGAGAATTTTTGAGTCCCTTTAAAAAATTCTGTCCCAGTTTCTATTGTAAAGAGGAATAGAAATCTTACAGGAGATATGACCGAACCCTTGTGGTGCCTATGTATCCCGTTGAGGCAGGGATCAGGTCAGATGTAGTTCCCCCTTAAAACTTACCAAAAGAAGAAAATTTTACAAAGAAAACCGACTGAGGCTAACATAGGCCGCCTACGTATCCCACTCTTGAGAATTCAGGTCGAACATAGTTCAAATATAAGGAAATATTAAAAGGGGTAAATGGGGTGACCGAAGCCGGCATACGTCGCCTATGTATCTCATTCTTGAGGATTCAGGTCAGATGTAGTTCATTACAAAGTGATAAAAATTTAAGCAAAACAAATACAACAAATAGAATGATTACAACTAAATAACAGAAATACAAACCGAAGCTTCACTTGTAGTATCTTTTGACAGCATTCGAGTTGATTTGTTTCGTCCATGCGGTTCCATCCATCTCCGACAAGACCAAAGCACCTCCAGATAATACCTTGCAGTCCATGTAGGGTCCTTGCCAATTTGGCACAAATTTTCCTTTGTATTCGTCTTGATGAGGGAAAATGCACTTAAGGAGCAATTGACCAACTTCAAAAATTCAGGCTCTTACTCTCTTGTGAAAAGCACGAATCATTGTCTGTCAATATAATTGACCATGATAGACGACAACCATTCTCTTCTTGTCAATCAAATTTAACTGATCGATTCTCTTTCTAACCCATTCAACATTACTCAACTTAGCTTCTTGGATGATTCTCATTGACAGTATCTCAACATTAGCAGGTATGACTGCCTCTATTCCATATAGCAGTAAGTATGTAGTAGCTCCAGTCGATGTTCTGACGGTCGTTCGATAACCCAATAAAGCATATGGCAACATCTCATGCCAACCTCAATGATTGTCAATCATCTTCCTCAGGATATTCTTGATGTTCTTATTGGTAGCCTCCACAGCTCCATTCATTTGAGGGCGATAAGAAGTTGAGTTTCGGTGAGTAATATTGAATTTCTCACATATCTCTCTCATCAAGTGACTGTTGAGATTTGCACCATTATTAGTAATGATCGACTCTGGTACTCCGAACCTGCATATCAGATTGTTGCGAACAAAATTAGCAACAAATTTCTTGGTTACCGACTTGTAAGAAGCTGCTTCCACCCACTTGATGAAGTAATCAAGGGTAACCAAAATGAATCTGTGTCCATTAGAAGCGGTTGGCTCTATCGGACCGATGAAATCCATACCCCAAGCTACAAATGGCCAAGGTAAACTCATAGCTTTAAGCTCGTGAGGTGGCACTCGGATCAAATCACCTTGCACTTGACATTTATGACGTTTTTGCACAAACTTGCAACAATCATTCTCCATAGTCATCCAGAAATACCCGGTTCGAAGGACACATCTGAGAAGACCCAAATTTGGAGTCCTCCTATAAAGGATTTCTCCACTCATAAAGAAATTAAGAGCCATACGACGTATCGACTTCTTTTGGTTGGACTTAGTATCTTCAGGATAAGTTCCAGACTCCAAATACTTCTTTATATAAAGATATCAAGGCAAACCGTCCGGTTCTTCTTCAACATGAGAACAATGGACTGGATGTTCCTTCAACTCTATACCCAGAGGATCAATATAATCTATATTCGGATGTTTAATCATCAAAGCGATGGTGGCAAGAGCATCAACCAACTCATTTTTTATTCTGGGAGTGTGCCTAAACTCAATCTTACGAAACCTCTTGCGCAGCTTCTACATATATTGCACGTACGTTATAATCATCGGGTTCTTCATAGCCCATTCTCTTTGAACTGGATGAATCAAAATATTTTAGTCTCCAATAACCAACAACTCGTAAACATTCATGTCGATGGCCATCTTCAACCCGAGAACACAAGATTCGTATTCAGCTATGTTGTTTGTGCAATTTAATCGGAGCTTAGATGCCATGAGGTAATGATGCCGAGATTCTGTTTGTGCAATTAAATCGGAGCTTAGATGCCATGAGGTAATGATGCCGAGATTCTGACACTAAAACCGCCCCAATACCTTTACCTTGATGGTTCGCCGCTCCATCGAAGAATAATCTCTAACCAGGGTATGCCTCAAAAATATCTTCACCCACAAATGACACTTCTTCATCATGAAAATAAGTCTTAAGCGGTTCATACTATTCATCAATGGGATTTCTGCAAGATGATCATCCAAAGCCTATGCTTTTATCGCCTTCTGAGTCACATACACAATATCAAATTAACTCAACAACATTTTACACTTAGATAACTTTTCGCTCGGCATCGCCTTCTGGAAGATATACTTCAGTGGATCCATTCTGGAAATGAGGTATGTAGTATAGGAAGACAAATAATGTCTCAACTTCTGGGTAAGACATGTCAAAGCATAACACGTTCTCTCCAACAAAGTGTAATGAGACTCATATGAAGAAACTTCTTGCTTATATAATAGATAGCCCTTTCCTTCTTTCCTGTCTCGTCGTGTTGACCAAGTACGCATCTGAATGCACTATCTGAGACAGACAAGTACAACAACAAAGGACTCCTTTCCCGTGGAGGAACCAATACTGGTAGATTGGACAAATAGTTCTTGATAGCTTCAAAAGCAGTCTGACACTCTTCAATCCACTTTGTCGGGGCGTCATTCTTCAATAGCTTGAAAATAGACTCACACACCATGGTTGATTGAGCTATGAATCGACTGATGTAGTTTAACCTCCCTAAGAAACTCATCACTTCTTTTCTTGTCTTCGGTGGAGGCAACTCTTGAATTGCTTTAATCTTAGAAAGATCGAGCTCAATACCCTTTCTGCTGACTATAAATTCCAACAACTTTCTGGCTGGAACTCCAAAAGCTCATTTGGCAGGATTTAACTTCAAGTTGAAACGATGCAAACGATCAAAGAATTTCCTTAGATGTGTCAAGTGGTCCAAACTCTCGCGGGACTTGATTATGATTTCATGCACATATACTTCAATCTTCTTATGAATTATGTCATGAAATATGGTCGTCATAGCCATCATATAGGCACCACCAATATTCTTGAGGCCAAATGACATCACTCTATAATGATATACACCCCAAGGTGTAATAAAAGCTGTCTTTTCTGCATCTTCCTCATCCATCAGAATTTGGTGATAACCTGTGTAAGAATCTACAAATGAATTAATTTAATGTTTAGCACAGTTATCAATCAAAATATGAATATTCGACAATGAAAAATTATCCTTCAGGCTACCTTTGTTAAGGTATCTGTAGTCGACACAAATCTTGATTTTCCCGTCTTTTTTTGGCCACCGGAACAACATTGGCCAGCCAAGTTAGATATTGTGTCACTTCCACCAATCGAGACTCTATCTGCATGGTGATCTCTTGTTTAATCTTTAAACTCAGTTCAGGCTTAAATTTCTGAGTTTTTTGTTTCACCGAGTCAAACCCCGGGTTGATCGGTAGTTTATGAGATACAACGTCAGTACTCAGTCCTTGCATGTCACTGACTTCCCAGACGAACACATCAATGTATTCAGAGAGTAAATGAATCGGGCCCTTTCTCCGAGTTTCATTTAAGTGGATGTTGATCTTTACCTCTTTAACGCATTCTACATCTCCCAGATTTACCGTTTCTGTTTTCTCTAATTCCGCTTATTTTGATTTTCAAACTGCCGGAATTCCTTGGCAACATACTGTGGTTCCTCACTTTCTTCTTTCTAATCATCAACCGCGTCATCACCTGCCTCATTTTGTTCATTCAGCTCGTGACATGATGTGACATTGGCAGGTGTAAAACTTACATTACTGAAACCATAAACAGACAAAGTTACAAAGTAGAGTATAACAGATGAATAAATAAATAAAGTTTAAAAACACAAGAGGCTTTCATTTAAATCAAAAAACAATGCAAACTTGTCCATGGCATAGGGCCATGTTGCCTTCTTTGAACATCACTATGAAAATTCAAAAATAAAACAGTTCAAAAATATGCAAAATGGTGGGTCTCGGGTTTCTTCGGACTACTACCGATTTTAATATGCATAAAATGACACCCTTCTACCGAGGAATTCGGGGAATTAAGATAGGCGCGAAGGTCCAGTTCTGCAGCATGTCTCCTGGCTCAGCATCGCGGATACCAGCTAGCTCGACCTCTTCCTCAATAACAACATCGATATTCTTGAAGAGGTCACAGATTCCTTCCCCAAGGTCTTCATGCTTGGCATACTACCAGACTGGGAAAGATTGATACATATGTGGGATCGGCTTAGCCAATGCTTGATCATTTTTCTTCTTCTTCTTTATGTTATCATCTGTGGGGATGTACCCTCAACCATATATGGCTCCTTTGACGAGGACCGGAATAGGCTCAATAATTCCTTGGGAATTTCTTACCAATCCGAAACCCGGTTCAAAACCATTCTGCAACATCACAGTGGCTATCATCTTGTACACAGCAGGCATGGGAGTTTGTGGGGACAAGTCTTCACCAGTGGCATTTACGAGCTCCACCGTGAAGAAATATGTACCTCACGATACTTCATCAATGATTGGGGCTTGTCTTCCAGAGTGACTCCCTTCTCCATGAATAACCATCTCTTCGTTCTTCCAAACGAGCTTCATCATCTGATGCAAAGTAGAAGGGACAGCTCCAGCCATATGGATGAAAGGCCTCCTCAGAAGAAGTTTATAGCTGGTATCGATATCAGATACTTGAAACTGTGCATTGAATTCTACTGGACCCATTTGGATGATCAGATTCACTGCTCCCAATGTATCTCTTTGAACCCCATCAAAGGCTCTTACGTTGACTTAGTTTTGTTCCAACTTCTCGAGGTCAAACCTTAACTGCTTTAGTGTCAAAAACGGGCATATATTCATACTAGATCCATCATCTACTAAGAAGCGGTTGACAACCTTTTTGCGGCATACCACAATGATGTGCAACGCCTTATTGTGTGACCTCCTTTCAAAAGGTAGCTCATCGTTACAGAAGTTGCTTCTGTGCCATAGAATAACCTGGTGAATCATAGTGGCCAAGTTATCGCTACTTGTGCATGAGGGTACATATGTATCATAGAGAGCCTTCATCAAAGCCAATCATTGCAATTGAGAACTCATCAACAAGGCCCATATGTATCATAGACTACATTCTTCTCTAGAATTCCTCCGTTTCTCCTTCGCTTATTGGCCTTGTATCCTGATCCTTCTTTCGACCTCCCAGAGCAAGCTTATCAGGAGTGTAACATCTTCTGGATCTGGTCATACCTTGAGCAGCAGCATTTTCAATATTGAACTTTGGCTTAATGAGAGTTTTTGATGGCACCAAAGCAACAACCTTTGGGGGTAACAAAATAACGAACTCTTTCTTCTTTTTGATGATCAAAGAAGCTACAGCCTTTTCTAAATCATCGTGAACGATGGGAGTAATCATTTTTGTTCCACACCAGTCATCGTCTGTCTCGATCATATTGACATTGCCGCCCCCATGATTCGGCAATGGGTTGGTGTTTACATTTGGTGCCGCTGGTTGGAGAGAGACTACCTCTTGGTCAATCGAATCCTGAATTTTGTGCTTGAGGTTGATACTGTCCTTGGTATCATTCCCAACACTGTTGCAATGACAAGCACATCTTTGATCTGGTCTGTAGAATATTAAATTGACATCCATGGGCTTGGGCCACACTAGGTTGATATATCCGGCCGCAGCCAGTCGCTCGTACAATTTTGTTCGGCGTTCAGCGAGCGTAGTGAAGTTTCTTGAAGGCTTCTTCTCGAATCTGGGTTGGGGAGGGTTATAACTGCCTTGTTGAGGAGGAGGCACCTGTTGATAACTTCTGGTATTTGGACGTGGAGCTTGGTTATGGGATATGGATGTGTTTTGTAGTTTGGCGATGGATCTCGGTAATTCGGAGGGGAATTTTTGTATAGTGAAGCTTGTACTTGATAAACAGGAGGGGTGCTCGATAGCTCGACTGCACATTAGAACAGTTGGGAGCAACACCCTGGTAGGGAGATGGAATTTGGTAGGGTGGAGGATGATTTGTGTAAATGGGAGATGGATTTTGGTAATACGGGGCGTGAACTTTGGTATAGTGGAGCTTGGACGTTTGGATAAATGGATGCAGCATTCTGATAAATTGGAGGGCATTTGGGATGACTAGCTTGTGTGTAGCAAGCTTGGTGGGAATTTCGGAAGGTCGAGAGCGACCTTGGGAATATGACGAGCTTCTAGGGGTTTTCGTTCCCCCATATGAAACAACAGCAATTTCCTCTCTTTTCTTTTTCAACAACCCTGAAAATCCAAGCGATGCGTCTACACGGGCTATCTTTCCTTATTTTAAACCATCCTTGATAGTCTCACCAATCTTGACTATCTTGGCAAACATTGCTCCAACTAGCAACATAATTCTATCATAATATTCAGGCTCTTACACGCGTACGAATACTTCAATGATTTTTTTCTTAGACATGGGTGGTCTCACCCTTGCCACTTCTTTTCTCCACCTAGGCGAACAACCTATAAGTCTTGGTTGATTTTTGTTTTATCTTCTTCAAAGAGTATCGATCTGGCATAATTTCTACATTTTAAGCAAATCGATTGATAAAATCTTTGGCCAATGCATTCCAGCTGGGCCATTGTCTGGTTTCATGCGATGTGAACCATTCAGAGCTTCGCCGCACAGGCTTTGGATGAAGAGCCTCATCAGTAAAGCTTCATCCCTTCCAACTCCCACGAGCTGTTCACAGTAGGATCTCAAATGAGCTATAGGGTTGCCCACTCCTCCGAAGGTGTCAAACTTCGGGATCTTGAACCCTTATGGAAGGTCCAAATTTGATGAATACATAAGTCTTCAAAACTAAGCCCGATGATATCAAGGATGCATTGGAGCTTCTTCATGGCCTTCTTGATATCTTATTTTATGTTAACATTTATCTATTCCTTTGCCCTCCACTCCTTTTTCTGTTCCTTATAATGGTCCAGCTCAGAATCGTGCACATCGTGCTCGGTAGGGAGGGGGATTTGGAAAGTGGTTCTTTTGAGTAAGGGTGGAGATACATAGGGACTCTCACTATTTTGAGCATTTTGATATTTTTGTGGGTACGTATGAGGATTGATATTCTGATTTAAGTGGTGGTGGGGTGTTTGAGGATTGAAAGTGTTTTGGTTTTGATTTTGGTTTTGATTTTGTGGTGGTGGAGCAGTTTGATAGTGGGTATTTTGAGGATGGGGTGGCATTTGGGGGTGGTTGTTTTGAGGATGAGGTGAAGTTTGGTAGGATGCAGAAGCATATTGGGGATTTTGGGTAGTCAGATCTGATGGATTCTGAGCAGGTGTAGATGGATGGTTTTAGGCTGGATCCATATTTGAAGAAGGGAAGTATATTTGAGGTATCCCATTAGCTGCGTTAGCAACAAATCCTGGTGGAGGCAGATCATGTCTCTTTTGTATCTCTACCCTCATCTCTGCAATTTATTTCATCAGCTGCAAAATCAACTCATTCTGGTACGCTATGGTGGGTTGAGCCACCACAACATCAGTAAGACTCACTTCTTCGTTATTATCCCCCATAATTGTCTTTCCTTTGTCTGAGCTTTGTCTAGGGAAGGAATCTTTGGGAACTTTTGATCTGGTGAAATAGGGATGATCTTCCAGCTTTTGATCAACACAGATCAGTTTCAAAGTACC